GTAGGCCAATATCTGAGTACTTAAAATGAAGAGTTTTGGTGATATTGGACACCCTTGTCTTATTCCTCGAGACACTTTTATTCTAGGGGTCAGTCCTGGATTCAAAGAAATACAACTGATTATATCATTGTAGAACATTTCAATAATTTTACAAAACTTATCTCCCAATCCAAAGTTTAAAAACGGCATGTTCTATGGAATCAAAGGCTTTAAAAAAATCAATAAATAAAAAGAGACTGTCCGATTCTAGGAGAGATTGGTAGTCAAGCATATCCAATATTAGTCTCACATTATTATGAATATGCCTACCTTTGATGAAAGCTGACTGAAACTCATCAACCAATTTGGCAAGAACCTGTTTAAGTCAATTTGCATACACCACAGCTAACAGTTTGTAATCATTGCATAGAAGAGTTATTGGTCTCCAGTTATCAAGTTTCAGAACGTCCTTATTGGGTTTAAGAAGAAGGGTCATCAATCCTGTTTTCATTGTAGGAGATAAACTACCTTTTCTTATACACTCTGAAAGGGCTTTGTATAGCAGTTCTTTAATATCATTCCAGAAATGTTTATAGAATTCTGATGTTAACCCGTCAATTCCTGGGGATTTACCATTTTTCATCTGTTTTAGTGCCTTTTCAATTTCTTTTATTGTTAGGTCTTCATCTAAATACTCCTTATCCTCCTGATCCAGTGTTTTTATGTTTATCTTTATTGTTTCAAAAAGAAGATCACATTCTACTCTTTTGAAATTTGATTTGTAAAGATTATTATAGAACTTCCATATTTCTTGATGTATCTGATTTGGATCTTCAATAATAATATCATTTTTCTTCAGTTTATTTATTCTTTTTTTGCTTTGTCTTTGTTTTTCTAGTCCGAAAAAGTATGATGTATTCTTCTCTCCCTGTTCAAGCCATCTTGCTCTTGAACGTACAAATGCACCATTAGCTCTTTCCAAATACATGTCATCCAGCTGAGTTTGTAAGGTACGTAGTTCAGCATCTTCTTCAGCTGCTATCCTCTGATTACTACATAACATATTTATTTTACTAATCAATTCTTTTTGTTTGCATTTTCTTATTACTGCTATTTTTTCCCTTTTTCAATTGCTAATTGTTTGATTTCGTATTTGAACCATTCCCATTTATTCATACTTGACATATCAAGCTCATTAACACTTTGATAAAGTATTTTAACTTGTTTACAAAAGCTATTATCCAATAATAAGTTATTGTTAAATTTCCAGATATTTTCTGATAATCGTGTTTGCTGTGATATCTGCAAACTAATTATATAATGGTCAGTAAGAGGTGCTGCTGAAATTTTGCATTTTAAGACATCTTTGCACATTATCTGAGAAATCAGCCAGTCGTCTAATCTAGAACATTGGTTATAATCTGAAGGATTTACCCATGTGTATTTTTGGGAGGTGGGGTTAGACATCCTCCAGTAATCAACTGTTAGTGATGTCAAACAGAGGTTAGCCAGTGTGTCATTCAATTCAGGTTGTTGTCCTCTTTTTGGTGTTCTGTCTAGCCATGATTTAGGTGCTATGTTGAAATCACCTCCTAATATAAGTTTCATAAATAGTTTTCCATTCATTTATGAGTAAGCCTAGTCTTTCCAAAGTGACTCTATTTTTGATTCTATTGTTGTAACCATATACGTTCAGTAAGATCAATTTCTGATCAAATATCTCCACTATCACCATAAGCCAATGTCCATCTGTGTCACTTTTGTGCTCAATTACCTTGCCTGGAACTCTATTCATTAGCACCATTACTCCTGCTGAGTGAGAAGTTCCATGAGAAAAAAAATGTCATCTCCCCACTGTTGTTTCCAAAATTTCTCATCTGCTATTCCTGAATGAGTCTCCTGCAAAAAAATTAAATTTGCCTTTTGTTCTTTACAAAATAAAAAAATGGCCTTGCGTTTAACAATATTTTTTAAACCTCTAACATTTAAGGATATAAATGAAACAGACATCTATACTGCTCTCCGGTTAACCTTCTTCTTTGAATGCGCTAGTTAACATTAATTAGCGCAGGAATGAGTTTGTTGTCCTACATAACAGTTTTATAGCAACAACCAAATACTTTTTGACTATCTCGACCATTTACAGGTTACCTCAGCTTTAAGACACATCTCCATGTCCATGCATCAGGGCTCAATTTGCTGTCCATCAATTATTGCATACCCCTCTTTCAAGAAAGCTTTTTTACCATTGTGTCTGGCTTCTTGGACTTTTGGCCATAACTTTGCACGGGCCTCACAATCTTCTTTGGAGAAGTCCTCCCTGAAATGGATATTCAGCTCTTTGCACACCCTTGCTTCTTTGGATTTCCTCCAGATATCGTTCCTGGCTGTCCATGTTGCAAACTGGATGATGATGGGCCTTGGCATTTTGTTATTTGCAGCATCATTTTTCCTTCCCAGGCGATGAACCGTGTCAACCATTTCTCTGAGTTTATCCACCGCCACCGGAATCACCCTGGTTAGGAGTCCGACCACAACTTCCTTGGTGTCTTCATTTTTCCAGATTCCATCTTCTCTTGTATCTTGCATTTTCCTGGCTCAGTTCTCTCAAGAAGCAGTATTCTTTTTTCATTACCTCAATTTGTCCCTTAAGTTTTTCAATTTCTTCTTTGTTTTCTTTTACAGCTTGTGAGTTGGCTTCTATGCGAAGTTCAAAACGTTTCAGACACTTATCTTGTTCGTCAAATCTGCTAAGTACTGCTTGGATAGCTTCAAAAATGTTTTCATTGCTAATTTCTTTCTCGTGTCCTTTTGTACATTTCGTCTTGATTTTTTTGGGGTCAGGGCTGGGCAGCGGTATGTGTTCATTTACCAGGGTACTTGTACTTCCATCTCCTCAGTCTCGTCTGCTTCACCCACCTTCTGCACCGCCAGGTTATAGTTGTGTTCAGTAAACAAATTAGCGCTAGCTTGTTTCTTTTCCATTTCGTCCAACAACGTTAACTTCCTCTCTGTTTTCCAGAACTTATTCCGCGTTCCTGTGTTGGTCCTTGTTCGTATTTGCCTGGTTGCTTAGCGTTAAATGATAATGTTTAGGACAAAAAAGTTTACTATTTCAGACCCCGCAAGTTATGTGACCACTCACACCGCCATCTTGTCCTCCCCCCTGGTAACCCCATACAGTCTGTGGGCCTTTCTCTTTCCCAAATTTCCACCTCCTCGACTCCTCGATCCTCGACTCTTTGAGGCACATTTTAGTCCCTCCCACCCGAGATGCGAGCTTGAGGAGACGAGAGGAGAGAGGAGTCGAGGAGTCGAGGAAACGGGCATTTAACGAAATTAGATGTCCTTTCCTCGGAGCAGTCTTTTTAAAGCGACATCCATTAAATATGACGTGTTGCACAGCTGCATCATCTGTCCGCTGTTAGAGCTGTGATCTCTGTCAGAGCAGCAGAGCAGCTTTTGGCACTAAAGGCTACAGATCATTTCTTCACCATCCAGAAACATGTCTGTCAACATTAGGCTATAACATGTAGAAACATCTCGAAGTTCCAATAAACATTAAAGCTGCAAGCAGCGTTGGGCGGGCCCTCGCACTTGTAAGCGCGTCCGCGTGTGAGCCGGTCGAGTTACATATTCTGGAGCTCTGCCGGTGCGGCTGTGAATTTGCTACGCGGTTCCGACGCCGCATGAAGGTGTTATATGTCACTTCCTGTGTCCCCTATGTGGAGCTACATAGCACTTGCCGCTATGAATATAAATCACATATAAATATAATATAAACACAATTTATCAAATTACACAACGGATATACAGTATGAAAATAAGATTGATTGGATTATACTCACAGGAAGTATAAAACCTGTTACATGCGTCTATTAAAAGTAAAGTAACACAAAAATGTCAGGGAAATTACTTTACTTAGATTTAAGTACTGCAGTTGTACATTTGAAATACCTTCCTGCCTTTCTGATAGGAAGCCTTCTTGAGGTGGTATAAAACATTTCTTCTTATATTCTGATTTGAGTTGTGGACAACTATGACCACATGAATTAAAAAAACATTTCACTGCCCAAGTCAGCTATAACACAAGTCTTGTTCATCAGACTACATGCTGTACAGTATTTGTGGACAGATTTTGTCCCAGGATTTATTATGCATTTCTTCTTCTTCGTTGCATGATTTAGAATAATAAGGTGAGAAATGGGTCTATTCTGAGTTCATCCGACACTGCAGCAGCTAATAAAGTCCATTTAATCCCAAAAACGCTTTTCTTTTAGGCAGGCGGGAGCAGAAAACAACTCACCTTTCTCAAGTTGTACAGTAATGTCACATGTGTATGAAGGTGGATCAAACAAGCTAATCTTAAATGTCAAAGTAGAGAGGAGCCTAGTAGGCCTATTTATTTTCATTCATTACACAATATGAATAAGCTATGCAGACAGTTGTAAAGAAAGAACATCTTTTCTTCTGTTCTCTACTTGTTATAGTTACACAGTATTAGGGGTGTGGGCTGTATTAAAAGTATCCACTGTTCTCCCATGCACTAACACACAGTAACGATGAAATGTGTGCTGTTCTCACATTCTTCCTCTGTATGTACACATAAACAACAAGGCAGGGAAATATAAAAGGAATTTATTTTATTGTTTGGGTACATTATTGTTCAGTGTACATGCTCACATCTGAAACAAACTTTACGTGCTTGATAACTGTCCCACCCCGCAGACATCTACACACCAATACCGATTTATATTCATAGCGGCAAGTGCTATGTAGCTCCACATAGGGGACACAGGAAGTGACATATAACACCTTCATGCGGCGTCATAACCGTGTAACAAATTCACAGCCGCACTGGCAGAGCTCCAGAATATGTAACTCGACCGGCTCACACGCGGACGCGCTTACAATTGCGAGGGCCCGCCCAACGCTGCTTGCAGCTTTAATTATGTTCATTGTTATGCACCAAGTTACCAAAGCAAATCCCTCCCCAACACTTCTTATGGTGACGTCAGAACGCAGCCAACGCTCACTACGCTGCTGACGTGTAGGTAGGGAAGTGGCTGTCGAGGAGTCTTTAGTCGCTAGCTCTTACTTTTACCTGTTCATCATAAGCCTTTGTCGACACTATGAAATCATTTGATTTAGTTCTTAGCTATTTGATAAAATAACAACGGAAGAGAAAACGGGCCAACTGCACAGGTAGGGGGCTTTTAATTAAATCACCAGCAAGGGCTAACGTTAGCAGGCTGCAGTGCTAACTTTATTAACTTCCAGCTGAACAATGTTACCACATTAGCTACACTTAGTGGTAGCAATACAACATGGACATTTCCTTATGTGACTGTTGTAAATAGAAAGCTTTTTATTCATAGCTGTTACCTTATTTACTCCATGGTGGTGGTGACTTTCAGCCGCTGAGCCCAGTTAGCCAACGCTACTCCAAAGGCAACACTCACAAGGCACTGCAAACGAAAGAGGACAGACAAGTCTGCTGCAGTCACGACACTTCTACACATCCAGCAAAGACTTACCCAGTCATCAGCGTGAGACAGTTAGTTGTGGTTAAACCAAAGCAGTTCTTAAAATCAAAATCAGACATGTAGCGTTACAGATCATTTAAACCACGTCACCATTTGTCAGCTCATACTTGAATATTTCTATGCTGTCCCTCACAAAGGCGTGTTCAGTGATTTACTGTTAATACTTTATATAGGGTGGCAGAATATCGCAGGTTAGTGCTGGAAATAAATGTCAGTTGCTAATGTTCTAGGTACTAAAATAACAAACAATGAAAATAAGAACAATTTGAACATTTTTTAGAACAATTCTAGTCAGTCTAGCCTAGGGCTGGGCAGTATATCAGTATATGAGGTTTACAGAATTTCAAAAGAGATATGAAATTAGACAATACAGTTTATACCGATATAGTTTGATGTTGAGTTAATGAATGTTTCTGTAAAGTCCTGCCAGCGTTTGCTCCTCTGTCTTTCGTCACCGTGTATGGCGAGCGGATAGCGTCACGGTGCCTGCTGTCACCTTGCTCCCGTGAGATTTTGATGTCATGTGACATGGCAACATTTTGCACCGCCGGCTAAAGCCGGACACAATTTCTAACCAGCATGCCTTATTTTAAGTCCAACATGCATCACGTTAAGTCAGCGCTGAGCAGCACCGCATGAAGTCAAACGCACTTTTTCAAAGTTCTTCTTCTTTTTTGTTTTTCTTTTTTTTATTGGCGGTTACCAAACTAGCCAAGAGGTGCATTACATTATTAATCAACTTAATTATGTAAGTTAAGTTTGTACTTAAAAAAACCCCAAAACAGTAGCCTACTTTAGCTTTCTTAGTATGATGTCTTCTTCCAAATTTTTAATAGGTTCTTTTGTAAGTCAAACCAAAAGGAAGCGTGAAAAATACCTAGAAATATGTTAAATATATTCACAACCACAAAACGTTTAAGGTTGTAAAATAAAAAGAAACTTTAAACGGGTTTGACCAGTGTTCAATGAATTTCTGGAGGCAAAACAGTTTTATCTAGTTTTAACCTCTCTCCTTTAAAGTAACATAATCGTCAAATTTCTTCAAAAGGCTCATCAGGCTACAAAAGGAGTGAACATTGACCTTCTCATTGTTACAGAGGAAGGTGGAAGCAAGCAAGAGTTTCTAGCAAAAGAGATTGTGAAAGACAAGTTCTGGGGACATACAGGGAGAGAGAGATGATAAGAAGTGGGGCACGCTGACGTATTTACAGCAGTATAGTTAAGTCTGTGAGTGTGAAGAGAACTGAACAGCTTGCTTAGCAGAAAATACTGATATGTTTTATACCGGAATTCTGCCTAACAGTACTGGGATATGATTTTTTGGCCATGGTGCCCAGCCCTAAAAGTAGGCAGTTTTGAATAAAGCTATAAGTTATCTGCATACAGCAGACCCCTGATCTCGGTGTTGTTTAGGGTGAGGTCAGGTGCCATGGAACCAGGGCTCAAGACTAACGGCGTCCTGTCGTCCTGGGGACAATAGAAAATGTGTTGGGATGAAGAGAAATATTCTCTAGGACGATGAAAGGGATTTATTACTATCACTTAGCAAATGACAAACTGAACTGACCATGCGCTGACTACAACGGAGCGCGTCTTCTAGGGCTGCAACGATTAGCCGACGTAATCCGCGACGCAGATTATAAAAAATCGTTGACGTGAATTTTCAATGTCGACGCGTCATTACAGAGAGGCTGTTTAAGGGAGAGAGTAATATTCTTATTAAGAACATTTCTGGTTGTTCATTTCTAACTGCAACGCACTACAGGAAGTGCTGGGGGCAGTATCGCTTCCACTGTCTGTCATGACTGCTTGACTGTAAGACTACTCACGAAGAAGAAGCATTCATTTTGAACGCTATTTCATCACTAAATACACTTTTGAGGTGAGAAATCAACTGTGTAGAATTTGAATATTGGCAGTTTTACAAAAGTTGATGGCAAATCGAAAATGTGCTCAAAGGTTTTTGGGTTTGAGAAGCTCCACAAGAGCCCGCGAGGTTAGTGGTGCCAGCCTGCCAGGCAGTAGCGGCCACAGAGCGCCCTGGTCCCAGTTACTCCAATATCAGACCACTGCAGCAGCAACAACAGAGCAGCAACGACAAGAAAGGCCACAACTGTAAGATAGTTTCAGTGTTCGTACCGCTGTTGTTCTGTCTTTACAATCTGAGTAATGGTTTGACATTTTAAAGTAAATCGAGAGCAGAACATTCTCCACTTATAAAACCTATAAGCACTTTGGAAAAATAGACTACAGAAGTAGTATGAAAGTGGGCTGTTGCTTTATAATTCTAAATAGACGTTACATTGTTAGTGTAACGTTGTGGTTATAGTACTTGTTTTTAATTTCCTTATTTTATATAGTTCCAAAGCAAAAATCTTTGTTAAAAAGTTAAGTTTTAAAGTTAAACCTACTTGGCAATAAAATCTGATTGTAAGCTTATTGTTTTGGGTGATAAAGCCTGGCTGTTATCTTGAAGCAGCCTCATGGATGAAATGAACGCTCTTTTACTTATGTTAGCAAACACGTTAAGTGCAATAATAAATTAGTGACTTAAAGGAGTAGCCTACGCTGTCTTGTCTTCTTCCCTATTTTCCCCTGGCATTTATACCAGTGTTCATTCTGTAAAGTTACCATTAAGTGTAGTAAACCTTTACTTAATGGTAATGTTAGCTAGTTAGGCTGTGTGTTTGACATAAGTAATTAACTAAATTGGTTTAATTAGTTAGGTTAGGGTTAGGGGGTGACAAAAATAATTGTGAAGAGTTGATTAATCAAATAAATAATTAACAATAATTTTACTATAGCAGGGCTCAACATTAAACTTTTGCAACTGGGCCTGTGGGTTTGAAACTAATTGGCCCTAAGATTTATCAGTGTTACAACAAAACCATAGACTTATAAGTTATGTTATACTGTTAACATGTTTAATCGGTTATTAAATACATCCTGGATATAAAAAAAAACTAAACTAAAATGTAATCACAATTAAAATGATAAAAAATAGAAGGTTAACAAAACAATTTACTTTTAAAACATTTTAAGTGTCAAACATGAAGTGCTCTCTCTCTCCTGCTGACAGCCATTTAATAAAAAAAATGTACACAGAGCAGCAGATACAAGTCGCCTCTATCCTGTCCATGTCGCCACGGTAGTGACCTGTCAATCACAAGGTAGTTGCACCCAAAAGCATACGCTGCTTTGTCTATTTTCCCCCAAATAAGACCATAATTTACTAAATGAACATCATGCTGGGTTGAAGAAGACTTGAAACTAGCGACTAAGACCATAAACTCATTTAAAAGTGTTTACTAAGGAATATCAGCTGAGAAGTAGCAACATTTTACCATTATTTCTAATGGAACCAGACTTGTTTTTACAACCAGCGGACTCGCCCGTGCTGGCCGTTGAGAATGCAGTTTTAAGTTCCGTGTGCATGGTTTCACTTTCAGACCCAGAGGTTGCCGCATGATTGAGATTAGAGAATTAACATTTGACAACCACTCATGCAGGGCTCTACGCTAACCTTTTTCCCAAGAACCACATGTGCTGCTAAATGAGAAAATTTAGGAGCACAACGAAAAATGTTCAAGTAACACAGAGTTTAACAAACTATTTATTATATACATAGTTATACTACGTCTGTGCTAGTTCTCCTTGTGTTCAACTATGGTGTGAAACCACTGGAGCACCGGCAGTGAAGACCCTTGTATCTGGACACTTGGCATTGGCCCTAAAATCTTGTTAAAGCTTTTTAAAAAGTTTTTAAAACACTGATCACTCATCACAAAAAACTTGCATGAAGTCAGATTGGCTATACTGTTTGTATGTTGTGTTTTAAAAGTAAATTGTTTTGTTAACTATTACCTTTTTTTTTTATCATTTTAACTGTGCATTTTAGTTTTTTAAATATATGTATTTAATAACCGATTAAACATGTTAACAGTATAACATAACTTGTTGGAAGACTGAAAAATAATTATTGGAAGGAGGGCCAGTGAAAATTGTCTTCAGGCCAATAGGTTTCAAACCCACTGGCCTGATGAGGCCAGTTGCAAAAAAGTTTAACGTTGAGCCCTGAAATTGTTCTTGGAACTTTAACTTAAAACCAGAGTAAACTTCCTTGAATGTACACATTCTTGGCAAATAAGGTTTATTCTGACTCTGATGTGAAACATGAAGAAAACAGATGTAGGGTCGGCCAAACATTTTAGTTGCTGCCATGATTTGCCTTCATGTCATTGTTATGTGGAGTATTATTAGTACTTTAAATCATATTGCAATTATTATGACGGATATTTCCGATACGAATCACAATTAGTGGGAACGATTATCAATTTCATGACGATGGGACAGCTGTTGGGGTTCTGTACCAAACAACCTGTTTTCTTGTCTGGAGAACAATGTGTGTAGGCTAGGGTGTCTCTGCAGCACCTCATTATACTGCTATTTTGATATTGCACTTGGCCGTATTGTGATTTTGATAATATTTAGATTAATTGTGCAGCCCTATCAGCAAGTCGCTGACTGCTAAAAGCGCCCAGTCTGAATCTATCTGGTGTTGTCAACCAACTGGATGTCCATGTGTTTGACTTGGCCATGTGCCCTCAAGCGACACAACTACACATAGTTATTCAGGGGTGTAGCAACCTCAATACACTACAGCAGATAGAGGACAGAGGATGTCATAGATAAACTAACACTCTCTGTTGTCCACAGGTATGGTTGAATGCAGTGGTTTTATGAAAAAGTGAGTGACTTGCGCAACAACAATGGGGAAGAGGAAGGTGCCAGATCTGTACAGAGCTCCCTTTCCCTTATACTGCATTAAAGTTGACCCTCAAACAGGACTTGTGATTACAGCAGGAGGAGGAGGGGCTTCCAAGACGGGCATAAAGAATGCTGTGGTAAGTTCTGAGGATCAAGTGCCACTCTGCCTTGCTGCCATAATAGACAGCTGCCTCAGAAGGCACAACCTTCGAGTGGAGGCATCTTCTAAGAACACTGGTTTCAAACAGCCTTTTAGATCAGCACTTACAGCAATGTGTGACGGCAGAAAGCCATCTTTCTTATTTTCTGGTTGTCTAGCCTTAGCGTCAGCTAGCTAGCTAATGTTAACCTATTGAGAAGGCAAATGGCTAATAGACACTTCAGAAATCCTACAAAATAAACTTTGGTTGATACAGTCACGCGCTATTAAGATAGTACAGTGTTTAGTTCTTGCTAACTTTTCAAAAATCTAAGTGAAAAATGTACAAAAATGTTTTAGAAACTTACAATTTATATGAATTCAGCTTGTTTGTCTGCCATCTTGTCCATTTTTCGTGAGCGGTCGCAGCTGCAGCCACACTGATTTATGGGTAATAGGCCTAGGCCTAGTTATCAAAACTGACCATTACGGGGGCAGTTTGAAGGCATCTTACGAGACAGGAAAAAATAGTTTGATCTGTTTCGAACAGCACTTGATGCCTCGCTGTCCTTTTAGACACCTTCTGAGACAACATTTTTACCTGTTTCAAACACAGCCTTACTGATTAAACTAATAGAGTACTGTGGTGGCCTTGCAAGCTTAGTGCACTGCAACTAAAGATAACTCATCCACATAAAAAACAGCATCCCTAAATTGACAGCATATTTTGTATGTTGTGTAACAGTGTAGCCACGTAGCCTTCACTGTAGCCTGACGCGCACCTCCCCAAAAATGAAACTACACGTTGTGGCGACACGGATGCTTGCTTTTGTATGCTGTTTTGGTGGTGTAAATGCAGAACGATGCAGACACAAACGCACAAGTATAAATGCGTGGCTATGTCCGTAGCTTACGCCATAGACTCAACGCAGAAGTATAAATCAGGCTTGACTGTGTTTCAGCACTTCCTGGATCTCCAGCTGTTCGGAGAACGCCAGTACAGTGCCAGTCTCCTTCACTCTCATGACACTGACACACGCGCCACCATGAACATGGCTGTAGGTGATGGTGTGATTGCTGCAGGACAGGACGGGACCTGCTCTTTGATGAGGTTTAAACACTGCACACAAAAAGGAGGAGGGAAAGCTGCTGCCAAAATCGGTGAGGATAACTGCTACATTCCCAAATATACCTGCTGTCTAGAGATAAAAAAATGTAATAAATATATTGCACTTAATTGATGTGTGACTGATTTACTAGGGCTGTCCCCGACTAAGGATTTAGATTGTTGAATCAGAAATGTCAGTGATTGTTTATATTCGACTGATAATGGAATCTGTGTGTTTGTGTTGTGTGTTTGTGTTGTGTGTTGGGCGGGGGGGGGGCTCGTTGAGAACTGCATGCACGTTGCGGTTCCTCATGGGTCTATTCAGAGTAGTCTACTGTTTAATAACAATAGAATATTATTTATGTTACGCTAAGTTCACTCAGAAGTCTGCACATCACCACGCTGCTGGTGCTCTGTCTCCCTCCTCTTCTACCACATACACACTCTACGCCACACATGCGCACCCCTACCTTAAGGGATAGGGTTACAATTTTTGATTTTTTCACACACTTCCACAGTCCGTAAGGATTAGGCTGGCAACCGAAGGGTCACCGGTTCGAATCCAGCTCGGACCAGAGTTGCGGAGTGTAGTCTGGTAGGAGAGGTGTCAGTTCACCTCCTGGGCACTGCCGAAGGTGGCCTTGAGCAAGCACCTGAACCCCTAACTGCTCTGGAGTGGCAGCCCCTCACTCTGACATCCTTCTGTGTGGTTGCTATGTGTCCTGTTTGAGTCCCCCCTTGCGGGATTAATTTCTTCTTCTTCAAGCAAAGCCAAGCTTCACTAAATTTAACTTTAACAGCAAAACATAGAAGACTAAAAAACAAACAAATACTAAATATTGTTGGTAGGTGATCAAATACTTATGTCATGCAATAAAATTAATAATTTAAAAATCATACAATGTGATTTTCTGGATTTTTGTTTTAGATTCTGTCTCTCACAGTTGAAGTGTACCTATGATAAAAATTACAGACCTCTACATGCTGTGTAAGTAGGAAAACCTGCAAAATCAGCAGTGTATCAAATACTTGTTCTCCCCACTGTATCTTACCGTCACAACACGAGCGAAATGACTCATTTGAAAGGGCTATACCAGCCGGACGTTTACAATTTTACCCCCATTCATGTTAGCGGAGCGCTAAACCGGACTAGCGTTTGGGGCTGGGTGTAATTGCAGAATGACGGGGATACCGACGCAAGTATAAAAGAGTAGCTACGCACGTAGCCATGCATTTATACCTTACGCAGGAGTAAATCAAGCTTTAGAGAGAATGCAATTTTAAGTTCCGTCTGCATGGTTTCACTTTCAGACCCAGAGGTTGCCGCATGATTGAGATTAGAGAAATAACATTTGACAACCACTTGTCATGTAACTACAACTCTGGATTTGATAATGGTGCGCACCATGAGCTGCAAAACAACTGCAGGATGTTGAATTTCTAACTTAAAAAAAAAAAAAATGGTTTTGCAATGGCCCAATCGGGCCAGTTAGTTGCTAGTTCAACTGTAACTACGTTACATTTTACTGGCCCGGGGCGGATATGTCTGAGAGACAGTCCATGATCCGCAGAGAGACGGTGCAGTCGTCTGGCGAGAAGGATAGGGTCGAGTGAGGGCATTTTGAGCAAGGGTGTAACCCGAGCCCTTTTGAAAGTGGTTGGGAACATTCCCAAAGCCAGAGAAGTATTTATCATATGAGTGATTGCCGGTGCCACGGTAGTAGAAATGGTTTGGCATGTTGTGGGACAGCTATGGGTCAAGAGTTCTGATACTTCATTCTCCGTGAGAAGAGTAAACAAGGAGAGGAAGAGAGAAAAAGATGTAGTAGGACTGTGACATCTTAGACTTGGTATTGAGCCTTAGCAACATTTCGCGAGGGAGACAAACATCTACAAGGACTGCTACATAATAGGTTTTCTTCTGCCGCACTAACAGCGTGAGAGCTGACTGGAGCGGGAGTAGACCAGTTGATTTTGGGTGATTGAGAGAATTGGCAAGTTATAGCCGCCACTTTGCCTGTGAAGAAGGCGGCAAATATGCAGACAGGGTCATGAGTGGTGGAGGAGGATTTAGTAGCGCTTTAAAAGTGGAAAATAATGTCCTTGAGTCAGTGGTACTGCTAATTCTGTCATTGTAGAACACCGTTTTGGCAACACTGATGCTGGTTGAGAAGGAGGATAGGAGCATTTGGTAGCCCTTAAGGTCAGCAGGGTCTTTGGTTTTTCGCCATTTTCTTTCAGCAGCTCTGAGATCAGTACGGAGCATTCGAATGGTATCAGTTAGCCATGTGTGGGACTGGTTCGGGTGAGCAGGCTTGGTGGCTAGAGGACACATGCTATCCAGGCATGTGTAGAGCACAAAGATTGTGCAGCATCATTGACCTTGACTGAGGAAAATGTGTTGAGGGGGGGTAGAGTAGAAGCTACCATTTAGTCAAAGCGAGTTGGAGAAAGGTTGCGGTGGTGTGAGACATACAGTCCTGGAACAATGTAGATAGACTGTGAACTGAATGAAATAGTGGTCAGACATGTGTAGAGAGGTGTGAGTGTTCGGTGGCACTGTTTTGGCCAAGAACAAGGTCAAGCACCTTGCTAGCTTTGTGGGTTGGGGGGCTGAGAACTTGTGTTAGATCAAAAGACTGAATCAGAGACAGGAAGTCTACTGAGGTTAATTTGTCAAAGTGAACGTTCAGCCATGCTCTCGGATTGAAGACAGCGGTGTGCTGTGCTTGATTGGCCATCCAACTGACCTGACCTGAACCTCATAGAGTATCTATGGGGTATTGTCAAAAGTATAATGAGAGACACCAGACCCAACAATACAGACAAGCTGAAGGCCGCTATCAAAACAGCTTGGGCTTCATAACACCTCAGCAGAGCCATAGGCTGATTGCCTCAATGCCGCACCACATTAATGCAGTAATTCATACAAAAGGAGCCCCAACCAAGTACTGAGGAGTTTTGAATTCCATGAGCTGTAGGCCATAATCATCAAGATTAAAACAATAAGGCCTGAAATATTTCACTTTATGTGTAATGAATCTATGGACCTGGATCTGTTGTTATTTCGTTTTTGTTAATCCTGTGTGTGTTCATGTACTTTACCTTAAAAATGTTCTACCGAGTGTGTAGTCATGTGACTCCGCCCCGTCCAGTCCTTACTTAGACATTACACATTTTTGAAAATGTGCTGTCACTAACCAGTTTTGAATGGAGTAAGTTAATATGTAAATGTAAATAATCATTAGTTGTATAGTGCCTTTCTAGTCTTTTCGGCCACTCAAAGCGCTTTTACACTACATCTGCATTCACCATTCACACACTGAGCCTAAGTGCTCAAACAGAAACTAACATTCGGGGGTTCAGTATCTTGCCCAAGGACACTTCGACATGCATCCTGAAGGAGCCGGGGATTGAACCGCCGACCTTCCGATTAACGGGCAACCCGCTCTAACTGCTGAAAAATGTGTTTTCACTTGGAGGCAATAGTATGACAGTCTGCATTTCATGGGGAAGCTTCAGATCCACCAGCTTAAGAAAACAAAATTCAGCAATAAAGATATTTGAACATATTCCACGATGGCCTTGTATCACAATGCTTGTCTGACTCAGCAGGGCTATCTTTGGGTTACCTGGCTTCACTGAGCCTAAGAGCTGTGATCCTGGATATCTGGTAGTATGAAGCTGTTTATCAACTGGCTTTGAGTCTAAACTGTGAGCAGAGCAGGGTTTAAACCCAGCCATGTGCAACATCATCACCACAGTGGCCTAGTGGATGGCATTGTGGCCTCATAGCAAGAAGGTCCCGGGTTTGAACCCTGGTCTTCCGGAATTTCTGTGTGGAGTTTGCATGTTCTCCCCTTGTCTGCGTGGGTTTGCTCTGGTTCCCCCACCATCAAAAACATGTTATACAAATACAGACCATCTATACAAAAACACACCATCATACAGACCATTAAATTTTGTAAAACTGCATTCATTCGAAATCTACACAGTTGATTTCTCGCCTCATAAGTTCTCAGAAGAGTATTTAGTGATGAAATAACATACGAAAAATCTAAAAACATTCTGTTGCTGATGATGATGCAGTGAAAAGTGACGATTCTCTCCGACCAATCAGTAGTCTGCAGTGTTTTCACGTCACCTTATGGTATCGCCTCAGCTCAACTCTGCTAACTTGGAACCTTGACGGAGGTAATACAAAAAAAATACAACGTAGCAGGTATAGGTACAACTTTTCCCCAATGGAAAACCCAAAAAGGCGAGTAGAGGCGAGGTGAGGTGGTACCATGCAGTGAAAAAGGGCATATTATTACTGGTGACTGGTGCCGATCAGTATCACATACCCGATCCTGTGCTGGTCACATTTACATACATGCTGCACTGTAAGGTGTTTCATGTCAAGCACACAGCGGCACAGACAGTAACTGTGTGTGTGTGTGTGTGTTAGTGGTCGACCAGTACATTCATTATCTTATATTTAGAGATCAGGGTGGCCGATGGCTGATAACTAATGGCGATATCCAAACAACGAAAAGTCATGTATAATTTCATCATTCCATGCAGAGTACAAGGTTGTAACGTCACAGTCATGAGTTAACTTACACAGCTGATCCCCTTTACAGGGGTCGTCAAGCCACACCCCGCCAAGTAAAAGTACTTCTTAAACGATGAATCGATCAAATAATCTGTAGAAGTTTCGAACACTAAAATCAGTGGTAGCTGGTATTACTTTTAAAATTTTTATTATTGTGAAAACCGTGTTGGATTACCGTGCTTTAAAAAAACTAAAGTAAATACTGTCTAGCACCATCCTAGGTTAGTAACACTCTCCCAGACACAGGCACTCATACAGAGACACAGGGAGAGAGAGACTGGTTTAGTTGTGTGTCTGAAGGGTAAAGCAAGGTGAGCAGATTAAAGCAGTTTGTGAGTAAACACTAAAATAAGGTGGAGAATTTAAGTAGAATTAAAATGGGGAAATAAGAAATAACCTTCGAGAAATAGGGTAATGTATTCTTTTAAATAAAATATACCAATACCCCCCATTCCCCCACAGTTACCATGTCATTCTGTGGAAAACACTGAGCTATGTTACTGCAGTTTATTTTCAGTTGGATTTTATTTGTACAGAAAGCTCTGTCCTGCAGCCTAATCTGGAGCACGTTTTTAATTGTGTGTTGAGTAAGAGAATGTCCTGTAAACTGCTGCAGTTTGGGAGAAAATTGAAAAGTTATTTAATAGTCAGTGTTTTATTATTGAACATACAGTTGAATGGACCCCAGTGAGAATAGCTTTTGCAGATGCTGAGGCTTCTGATAAAGAAAGTTTATCATATAAATTTTCTATTAAAGTAGTGTTACAAAAAATGTTTGTTTGTCAATTATAGTTTTTAGAAAGAAAGAATCGTCCAGGAAAATGGTAATCGGTGCATCTCTATGACATGGCTGTGGGCAAAAGTTATTGCACAGTACAATATTTACAATGTAATCATACAACAAGAAAATAATGGGAAACTGTCCATATATTAAAAGTAGGGATGTCCTCGACGAAGGATTTACATAGTCGAATCAGAATCGTCAAGTCCTGCCTATAGTTGACTGATAGTCGAGTTGTGCTTTTTTTTTGTACTTGCCGATTGCGAGTGGGGAGGGGGGGGGTGTTGCACACGGTACCTCCGCTTTAATCTTGAGAAGCTGCAGAGCTGCAGTCTCTATTCATTCAACTTACACTGTAAATTTCCAGCTAAACTGAGGCTCTCTCTCTCTCTCGCCTGTCATTCAATTTTATTTATATAGCGCCAAATCACAACAACAGTTATCTCACAGCGCCTTTCATAAAAGAGCAGGTCTAGACGGTAAATGAAAAATGGTACAGATATTTATAGTAGTGTTAATGGTAACAGTCGTAATGTTAATGATTATAATAACAATAATAATAATAATAGGACTAGTAACAATAGTTGTTGCAGCAGAAGGTGTCGAGCAGGAACACGGGGGCAGCAGGTGACCCGCAGCCACAGATCCAGACTCCACAGCTCCAGAGCCAGAAACACCTGCAGGAAATGATAGGAGGAGAGAAGAGAGGGATGAGAAAGCACAAGACTACCGGAAAGGGGAGAAGTTGTGGTTCAGGAGTCACCTGAGCCAGCCCTAAGTATAAGCTTTATCAAAGAGGAAAGTCTTAAGCCTACTCTTAAATGTGCAGATGGTGTCTGCCTCCTGAACCCAAACTGGAACCTGGTTCCACAGGAGAGGAGCTTGATAGCTGAACGCTCTGGCTCCATTCACCGGTCTTGTGCAGAGTTTTACGTACATTACTGCTGCCGACAACTGCATGCAGTTCCTCGTGGGTCTATTTTCAAGTAGCCGGCTATTTAAAAACTAAAAAATATTCTTTATGTGGTTCATCAACGATGATAAATTATCCCAAAGTCCCGCGAGGTGCGGACAATTCGGCACAACACCAGTGAAGCTGGGGCCTTGTTTCGCTGCGAAGCTTAGACTGTGAGATTGACAGTCGAATCAGGTTCCGCCCATTGAAGCATCTATTCGGGGTCAGCCCTACTTAAAAGTAAGACTAAGACTGAAAATTGTTTCATCGGCCATTTTAAATATGGTTGGCATTTTCCACATATTCAGTAGTGTAAAGTGAGAATGGAAAGATAAACATTTATTTTCCGTAGAGACATTTGTGCTGTTTTTCACATGGTAAACACAGTATTATGAACAGGTGATTTACTTATATATAAATAAATGCCATATAAGGTATGACTGAAATTAACTGTGCTAACTTATCAATGTGTGCATTGTTTCTATTGAAAAACAGTTGGAATACTGTATAGTGCGTTTTGAGTGGTATGCTGTTGTCTCATCTGACCATAAAACCTTTGACACATGCACCAGGATCTTTCAAGTGTATTTTTGCAATTTTTCAGAAGTCTTATTTATTGACAACCTGCCATACAGGCCAGCTTTGTGTAAAGCTTGTGAGATTGTTGTTACATGCACAGACCAACCACTCTCAGCCATAAAGACTTGTCCTTCAAATGTTGCCATCATGGCTTCTCCTTCAATTTTGTTTCTTTGACGCCTTTTGGAAGAGGATTGTGACTCGTTTGTATAAAAAGCACTCGCAGAGATCCTTATGTTTTGTTGAGAATAAACAAGATTTTTTACCTCAAAAAATATATTCTCCATGGTTGTCTTCTAACCTATAAATTTAAGCTTAAACTTTTCTAATGCAGTCACTAATCTGTTTCACTCCTCCTATCTCACTCAAACAAAAGAATTTCCCAAGCTGTCACCCAGCCCCTCATTATACCTGTGACCTAGTAAGGAGGAGTCGAGGTCTAAATTTCATGATGGCAAATTTCAATGAATAATTAAATACAAGTCATGTTGTTTTTTACTACGAATTAATGACTAAATATGAATAAACTTATTATGGATCCAACAGTTGCCATTGGCCTCTTGGTAGCTTCCCTTATCAATATCCTCCTGGCTCAGTCATCAAGTTTGTAGGGATGGTCTGATCTAAGCAAGGTATTGGTGTTCCGTATGCTCTCCTCTTGTTAACTGTGTTCTTAACAGTCCTCAGGGATGGTTAAAGTCTTTAAAAATCTGTCAAGTATCCTTCTTCTAACTTGGGCCTTTCCACGACTTTATAGTAGTAATAGCAGTAAGTAATTAAACCACTACAGTTGATGTTTTATTGTTTTTTTGGGGGGGGGGGGAAAGATGGCGCCAGTGTGGCCGTCTGTCTGTCACTGTAAAATTTTTATTGCTTGTGTCACTGTTTATGCAAAATATTGACTCTCCGATCTACTACGATTGCCAATCGCTGCTTGATCTCTGATACTCTGTGGAAACATCGATCAAATATGATTTGGGTGGGCAGAAAACTTTTCTCCCTCCTTTGATGTCAGAGATACCTGCTCACCTCCTGCGCAATCCACCATCACTTCCCTGGAGAAGTCGCTCCAGGCAGCGGGCAAACGCAGCGGTCAGCTGGTGAAGCTTAAAGCATATCTGGCATTCTATCCTGGATGTAGTCAGACTCCCCATGGTTTCTTGGTGGAATATGGATCAATTTATTATCTCTGTTTCCTGACGAGCCCTGGACCCTGCTGACACCTGGCTGGTACCTGTTGTTGCCCATATGTGGAGGCCCAGCTTCCTTGCCGATGTTCAACTCACCGGAGGTGACGTTAACCACGGATATCTTCGGCCGCTGAGTCGATTACCTCGGACGGCCAGTCCTGCTGCTCCTATCAGAGCTGCCTGGTCAATGTTAGATTGCTAGTGAGTAAGACCTTCATCCTGAATGACTTCTTTCTTATTCGTGACTGAAACCTGGCTGAATGTTGGTGAGTCGAGCGCTTTCTCAACACGCCTTGATTATTGTAATGCTTTGTATGTAGGTGTTAGCCAGGCCTCCCTCTCTCGACTACAACTGGTTCAAAATGCTGCCGCTCGTCTCCTTACTGGAACTTGTAAGCGAGATCGCATCTCCCCTGTTCTTGCCTCTCTTCACTGGCTCCCTGTTAATTATAGGATTGATTTTAAGATTCTGTTGTATGTTTTTAAAGCCCTTCATGGATTAGCTCCAGCCTGTATCACTGATCTATTGAAGCCGTATGCTCCTTCAAGGTCATTAAGGTACAAGATCCAGTCACTTCTTGTTGTCCCTAAAACACGGCTCAAAAACAGGGGTTCGAGCTTTCACAGTCGCAGCCTGTGGAAGGAATTGCCTCTTCATGTCAGACTGGCCCCCAGCCTTCCGGTTTTTAAATCGCGACTTAAATCTCACTTTTACTCCTTGGCTTTTAATCCAGGATGAGAGCTGTATGTTGCTGTTTTGTCTGGTGTTGTTTGTATTGTGTCTATTTATTGATTCATGTCAATGTACAGCACTTTCGTCAACTTGGCTGTTATTAAATGTGCTTTAGAAATAAAGTTGGATTGGATTATGTCAGGTGGGGCCAATTAACCTGGTGAGTGATCTGGTAGTTTATTGGTTGTACCTGAGGCAGGCATTTTACTAATTCAATTTCAAGAACATTTATACTGTGTAAATACCACTGAAAAAAGTTGGATTTAATTCATTTGAATTTCCAAGGTGTAATGTTACAAAGGTCTGGATTTTGACAAAGAATGATGATTTTCTCTAGGCATTGTACATATACATCTAAACCTATGTCCAAGTTCACAAAAAAAACCTGTTTCACATTTGAGTGTGGGGCGGCTGTGGCTCAGGAGGTAGAGCGGGTTGGCCATTAATTGGAAGGTTGGCGGTTCAGTCCCCGGCTCCCCCGGTTGCGTGTCGAAGTGTCCTTGGGCAAGATACTGAACCCCGAATTACCCCTGGCGGCTGTTCCGCCAGTGTATGAGGTGATATGTGTGTGAAAGTTAATGTTAGTTTCTGTTTGAGCACTTAGTATGTCTTGTATAACTGGTTAATACAGATGTAGTGTAAAAGCGCTTTGAGTAGTCGAAAAGACTAGAAAGGCGCTATACAAATACGGAGCATTTACATTTTAATTAATTTCAGTATTATTTATAGAGTGCCAATTCATAACAAAAGTTATCTGACTGCACTTTTCAAATAAAGCAGGTCTTTTTTTGTCCAGTAAAAACATTTCATCTGTGCAGAAGGGAAGAGCGTGCAGCAGGGTAATGCGAGGCGACGAGCTGGGAAAGGAGACAAAGGTGGACCGGATGGTGCTGCGGCATCTGGAGATATGTCAGATATCAAGGATGAGACGGCTCACATTTCTGTGACTGGTTTGGCTGAAGTGCAGTCAGACCTGAATCCTCAAGACCCGCTTCAGAAGGTGGTCCGGTTCAGTCCTGACCTGAGCCTTCTGGTGACTGGAGGCACAGACGGATACATCAGAGTCTGGGAGGTAAACGCTGTCTGATTGTTCTTTTAACTTGGCCAGCCTTGTTTGAGTGTTTTTATTAAAAGCTCTGACACATGTACTGCTTTAGTGTAATTCATTTGGGAAGTGAGGACAGTGCCCACAATGGTTCCTGAAATAACTTGAATCTGATATAAGTAATAATAAATAAAAATTTACTTAAAATTACTTACTATTACTTACTATTACTTACTATACTAAGAAACGGGCCTGGACAAAAATGATGGTAGCCCTACAAAAGTTTGGAAATAATTTGACCATAGGGACGTCACAGGTGTCTTCAAATTTGTAATCAGTCAGTCTGCCTATTTAAAGGGTGAAACGTAGTCACTGTGCTGTTTGATATCATGGTATGGACCACACTGAACATGGACCACAGAAAGCTAAGGAGAGAGCTGTCTCAGGAGATTAGAAATAAAATTATAGACAAACATGTTAAAGGTAAAAGCCTGGTAAGACCATCTCCAAGCAGATTGATGTTCCTGTGACTACAGTTGCACATATTATTCAGAAGTTTAAGGTCCATGGGAATAGGGCTGAACGATTTTGGAAAATAATCTAATTGCTTTTTTTTCTTTTTTTTTACCAATATTGCGATTGTGTTTTAATATGCGATTAATTTTTAAGCTCTTTACCTTCTGTATTATTCAAAATGGACAAGCAGTTAATCAGTGTATAGTATGACCAACACAATATTAGCTAGATTAAACACACTGTTCTTTCTTGTAGGTCAGGCCTATGTTATGATGAAATTAGGTGATGCATGAATTGCATGAATTATTATTGAGAGCTATGGTGGAGAAGAAATATCAAATTTTAATAATATGAGAAAGATTATTTGAGAGTCAAATATCATCAGGTAGGCCATACAGTAAGTGCTCAATACAAAACCCACAGTTCAACCACCAATTAAAGAGTCCTTATCTCAGTTCAAATCTCCTAGGTATCCATCTTTCTATATCCCAGTAAGCAAACAAAAGTTTGAGGTGAAATTAAAAGTTGGCCAACGAAAATAATACGAATGTTTAATAGCTTAGTCATTCTCCCACAACACCGGAGTTCCCCACCCCCGCAGTCTCCAATGCTGGTGAGCGGCGCACTGCCTGTAACTCGGGACAGACTGGGCCTCTTTTGGACTTGTGCGTTTAGTTTTAAACTTAAGATATTTCCTGAGCTGACTGATGGCTATGTGTGTGACGCTGGCACCGATCGCCACAATGCGCTTAACTTACTACACGTGTCTTTCTGTTGTGCATTTTTCCTGTCTGTCAAAGTGGCGGATGGCCCGACGATTTCACCCACTACCATCACCAAGTTACCCACGGGTGGCGGTGCTACTTTCATTCCCTGTGTGACACTAAAGATTCTGTCTTGTCAGCTTCTGTCAAGCGTAAGGCCATTGTACAACAACAAGTTAAGGTACAGCATAAGGTGCGAGTTGATGCTTAGTCTGCAGACTGCTTTACTGTTGTAAATGTGACCAGAGTGTAATTGTAGCCTTTGTGATTAGAAAATCTCGTTTTATTACATCACGATGCAATTAATCGTTCAGCCTGGGACTGTAGGCAACCTCACTGGACGTGGCCGCAAGAAGAAAATTGATGACAAATTAATGAGACGGATAATACGAATGGCAACCAAAGAGCCCAGAACAACTTCCACAGACATTAGAGGTGAACTCCAACGTACATCAGTGTCAGATCGTACTATCCGTTGCTGTTTGAGCCAAGTGGACGTAATGGAAGACGACCGAGGAGGACACCACTGTTGAAACAAATCATAAATTAAAGCTGCAAGCAGTGTTGGGCGGGCCCTCACACTTGAAGCGTGTCGGGGTGTGAGGCAGCTATGTTGCAGATTCTGGAGCTCTGCTGGTGCGGCTGTGAATTTGCTACACGCTTCGGACGCTGCATGAAGGTGTTATACGTCACTTCCTGTGTCCCCTTTGTGGCGCTCTAGAGCACTTGGCGATAAGACTGTAAATGAATATTGGCATGTATTCTGGGCGGGACAGTTATCAAGCGCGTAAAGTTTTGTGCACATGTGAGCATGTACACTGACGTTAAAACAACTTACTGTGTCATGGCGAAGAGTTTAACTTTGCCACCACGCCACCGCCATGCCGTTAACTGCAAACTCACAAGTTTTGCAACATGGCTTCATCAATGTGTTAAGGGTTTTCTGGTACAGTTTTGAAGTTGATATGTCCGACCTGCTAGGAGTAGTACATTACAGCATAAAATGTGTCATTTCCTTTTATCAGCAGGTGGCACTATGACTTTGAGTAAATATTGGGATATTGATGTGTTCAGGACGGGACTCTTATATTGTATTCCAAATTTGGTGCAGATGTGAGCATGTACACTGAACAATACCTTCCTGTTTTATGGCAAATCATCGATTTTGGACGTCACGCCATGTGCACGCCGTTCCACGAAAACTCACTGTTAAATAAAATACGAAATTTTTCACTGCGTCTGAATTATGTGCAAAGTTTGGTGAGTTTTCGAGTATGTTTAGGCCCCCAAAATTGAGGTTACTTTGCAGAAAAAACAAAATAATCCCTTTCACTCCCAGTTTCAATAGGGACTTCATATGCTTCGTGTTTGGGCCCTAAAAAGCGAGACTGGAATTTGCCAAAATGCATATTGACAAGCATCAGCATCTGGCACATTTGATTCTGTACAGGAGTAATCTCAAGACTATCAAGGCATTCTGGAGCGGAATGTGCTGCCCAGTGTCAGACAGTTTGGTCTCAGTCGCAGGTCAGGGGTCCTCCAACAGGATAATAACCCAAAGGCTAAAAACACCCAAGAATGGCTAAGAGCAAAACACTGAACTATTCTGAAGTGGCCTTCCATGAGCCCTGATCTAAATCCTATTGAACATCTGTGGAAGGAGCTGAAAACATGCAGTACGGAGAAGGCACCCTTCAAACCTGAAATAGCTGGAGCAGTTTGCTTATGAGGAGTGGGCCAAAACACCCGTTGACAAGAGCAAAAGTCTCATTGAGAGTTACAGAAATTGCTTGCCTGCATTGACTGGCTCAAAAAGTGCAACAAAATATTAAGTTCAGGGCACCATCATTTTTGTCCAGGCCAGTTTCATTAGTTTGTTATTTAAAATTATTCTGCTGAACCATAATTAAAAAGCAATGTCTGATTTTCATCAGTTAATTTTCAGTAAATTTTTATTTAGTGTTACTTTTGTCAGTTTCAAGTTATTTCAGTGACCGTTGTGGGTTTTTCTTTAACGGGAGGTTACCAACAATTTTGTCCCATCTGTAAGTATGGATGCAATGTGGATGTCGATATGTCCTCCTGTTATATCTTGGTTCAGCATTCCTTACACTGAACTTTTGCACACCACTCAGCTAGTAATTGTATTTTTTTTTTTTTTTTTGGCCCTTCATTTGGATTGCAGAAAAATGAACATTTGCCCCTTATCTCCTTGCATGTTTTTATGTTCTAGGGTGGCTATTTAAGAATAGCGTAATCTCTGTCACCAACAATTATTGAGTGTTTAAAGAAAAGGAAATGATTAACATTAATTTTTAAATGTGGGTCATGTTTTCATAGTTTTGGCCCCTGTCCTAATAGCATAGAGTTCTGAGGATTGATGACTGTGTTAGACACAGCTTTACAATACAGTGCACACTGAGTGCACATAAGCCCATGTGTTCCTGGTTCAGCTTTGACCTGCTAAAATGAACTCACTATTGGAATTTTTGGGTGTATTCACAGTGATATTGTTAATAATTGAGGTAAAGTGGGCTTTGTTTGGGTTTACTGGACTGTGCTATAAATCTGTTATTTCATTCCAGATATCAGGCATTAAATTGGTAAAGAAAATATTATCATAATAAATGTTATCATGACTAAAAGGAATGATGGGGAAACAAACAAAAATACATACATGACATATCTTGAACGTATGCATTGATGTCTCAACACTGATTGTATGTTCTTGACTCTTCTACAGTTTCCATCGCTGAAGAAGAAGTTTAACTTTAAAGCACATGATGGTGAGATTGAAGACTTGGACACGAGTCCAGGGAACAAGGTGAAATGAGAAATAGGTTTTCTTTCAAATATATAGTGCAAATTTTAACAGAAATTTTAACAGAATGAAAAAATCATCAAAAGTATATGCAAATTAAATCTGCAAGCAGCGCTGGACGGGCCCTTGCACCTTGAAGCGCGTTTAGGCATGCCTCTACCGCACTGCAGACAGCACAGCTCGGCTGACATGGCTATGAATTGTTACGTGCTTTGGACACAGTACAAAGGACTTGAAGGTCATTTCCAGTGGACTCTGTGGTGCTAGAGAAAACACTGCAATTAGAGAAGTGCAAGGAACCTGTCGTTTTTGCTCAGATTATTAGGAGTCCAAGCCCGGAGTGGGCTGGGAACCCGCGAATGCAAGGCATCGCGGTTCTCAGTACCAGCGAAGCGGCTGGGAACCCTATTGTAATCGTTATCGTTAGGATTTTTATTATTATTCTTCCGTGAAGAAAAACGATACTGCGGCCTAGACGATAAGTGCTACAGACGCGAAACTCACATGGTAGGTCCAGGTCACCACAGCGACCGCAGACGCAGTTGAATCTTGTGGTATAGGCCACGCCCATTTCCCGCGTATAATTTTTTTCCCCGCAAAATCGCTGTGATGGTAATTCAAGTTTTTAAATCACCAGCTAATTCAAGTTTTTAAATCACCAGCTCAGGCAAACACTTGTCTTTCTGTGAATTTTATTCAAGTCTTCTGCAGAAGAACTTACAGCAACACACATACATGCTCGAATGAGTGAGGAGAGCTCCGTGAGTCTGTTATTTATCCAGCTTTAGGGTCAATCATATCATCCCACAGATGCACATTGTCCCTGAAGTGTGGATAACACAGAGAACAGAGATATTTTGACTGTTACGTTTAAACAGATTCAGTGCCACATGAACAGATGAGTCTCCCTGAGTCCAGGGTTACATGCAATATGTTCCCATTACATCGTGAAAACTGAAAAACCTATTTTTATTAACTCCTCCGAAGCCGCACGTCCGATCAGAACCAAACTTGGCAAGGACCATCTCTGGACCAAGCTGATACAGGCTTGTGCTCCCCAGATCGATACGCAAAAAAATGTTCCAATTTTAAGCTAACAAATATTTGCGCAAAACACCAAAAACAGGAAGTGATGTCATATGTTAGGTTTAGAATGGCCGATCGACACCAAACTTGGGGACTTTATGCGGCACGACTTCCTGAAGGCCTGTATAAAATTTGTTGTCAATCTGCCTCTAGGTGGCGCTATTAATCGTATATCAAAAAACACTCCCATAGACATACATTCATTTTATATCTCCATAACCACAAGTCCGACTCATAGTACCAGTACTCCTGTACCACCGGAGCTGGGAACCCTATTGTAATCGTTAGGATTTTTATTATTCCGCCGCTAAAACACATAATGCAGCCTAGATTTTTGGGCTTCTGTAAATAGCATCACAAGGTACGGTCTAGAACTGCTCTTTTATGAAAAGTGCTGTGAGATAACTGTCGTTGTGATTTGGCACTATATAAATAAAATTGAATTGAAATTGAATTGAATAGACAGTAAGTGCAACAGAGACGAAACTCATAGGGTAGGTCCAAACCACTGCAAGTAACACAGGCGCAAAAATCCGCACACTTCTACCACTAGGGGACGCTGATGTAACTGCATACAAAGGCGCATATCAAAAACCTTATATCCACAAGTTCACCGGATCGAGCTGAATCTAATGGCCATGCCCATTTCCACCTAGACTTTTTTTTCGCTACATCGCGAAAACTGAAAAACCTATTTTAATTAACTCCTCCAAAGCTGCAAGTCCGATCGACACCCAACTTGGCACGGATAATCTCTGGACCAAGCTGATGAAAGTTTGTAGAGGAAATTTTGATAGGATGATGATACGCTAATAATTGTTTGAGAAAAACGCTATAAAAAGGAAGTGATGTCATATCTTAGGTTGGGAATGGCCGATCAACACCAAACTTCAGGGCCTTATGTGTCATGCCCCCGTGAGGGGCTGTGCAAAATTTGGTGCAGTTAGCCTCTAGTTGGCGCTATTAAAAAAAAAATCCCATTGACTTACATGCATTTTATATCTCCATAACCACAAGTCCAATTGATACCAAATTTGGGGCAGATGACACCTCTAAAATTTTGTGCAGTTCGGCCTAAAGGTGGCGCTATAATCGAAGCTCAAATACCGTCAGAAAGTCTCATTCATTTCAATGGGATTTTCAACCAAGGCACATTTTGCCTCATAACTACGCGCACATCGCACATTCATAAACGTTATGTCTACAGGTTTGGGGGATTTTGCCGATTCCAATGGTATAAAACACGCCTCTGTACGATGACGTTTTCATTTCGTAAAATCACAAAAACTGAAAAGCCTATTTTAATTAACTCCTCCAAAGCCGAAGGTTCGATCGGCACGAAACTTGGTACAGACCATCTCTGGACCAAGCCGAACAAAAGTTTGTAGAGGGAATTTTGATCTGCTAAAAAACATCCTAATTATAAGCTAACAAATGTTTGCGCAAATGCTAAAACAAGATGTCATATTCTTATATTTGCAATGGGTGATCTACACCTTGTCTTGCACGACCTCCTGAGGGGCTGTGTGAAAATTGGCGTCAGTCGGCCTCTAGGTGGCGCTATTCATTGGAAATCAAGCAACACTCCCAATAGACATACATTAATTTTATATCTCTGTAACCGCAACTCCCTTATATTTAAGGCGTCAGGAAAGGACATGTTTCAAACTTTATTTCCTGTGCCTCATTCATATTTTTTACAAATGTCCATAGTGACGCATATATGCGCCCATCCATCTCAAAGTTCTCCGTGCTCCGTACTTGTATAGCGCCTTTCTAGTCTTTTCGACCACTCAAAGCGCTTTTACACTACATCTGCATTCACCAGTCACACACATTCAAACACTGAGGCCTAAGTGCTCAAACGGAAACTAACATTCACACTCACTCATACACTGGCGGAATAGCCGCCAGGGGCAATTCGGGGTTCAGTATCTTGCCCAAGGACACTACGACATGCAACCAGGGGGAGGGATTGAACCGCCGACCTTCCGATTAACGGCCAACCCGCTCTACCTCCTGAGCCACAGCCGCCCCAAAGCAGACAGTTCTGCCGTTGCATTATACATTTGAAGGTTGTATTCAGGCTGTCAAACTGACTCAAACGGAAAGTGTCGGACCTCAGTTAGAGCGAGTCCTGTACTGCGCTGTGTATTCAGGGCGTGGCTTAGCAAAGGGTCAATTAAACAGGAAGCTGTTTTGAGAGCTATACCTAGGGATGGGGATCATTAATTTTTATTGATATTGATACCCTTATTGAGACGATCTGATTCTTTATCAATACCACTATCGATACTTTACTATTATTTAGTGATGGTTATTTCTAAGACCACACCCAACGGGCATGAGATAGGCCTGCAGGGTATGAGGAAAATATTCAATGTGCGATAACCTTATATATTGCATACATGTCACTTGCGATAAATAAACATATATTGAAGTGTACATATTAACTGCCTGGTTGTTTTTAATTTAATATTTTAAATACAGCTAAATGTTGTTTCTAGACAACAGCAAAGTAACTCAATAACTTTATCTGACATCACAAGTAGTGAGTGACGTTTAGAAAGAACAGTCTGTATCAGTCCCTCCTCCTCGCTGGCTGCAGGTAACATTACCAGGTAGAAGGAGGAGCGGCTGATTTGTCTCAGCCAGCAGCTGAGCTTTTAAGACTACAGACCAGTCTGTGCTCCAGACAGCTTTCTATTTAGCTTCTTTTTAACATTTGGCTAATGCCAAGCTAGCGTTAGCTGTGCTTGTATAAAACATAAAGGATGAGATACTGAGGACAGAGATAATTAAATTAACCATTTCTACATGTTTAACGTTAAAACCCTAAATGCCTATGTGCACGTGTAGCTCAGTCGGTAGTAGTGGGACTCCCGTTGGGACGGTCGATCCTAACACACAGCGGATATTTTTTTCTCCCTTGTTAAAAAAATTGATTGTAAGGACACTTTTGCACATGCTCACAATAAAGTATGTGCTGCAGTGCATGTGCGCCCCAGTGTTTGATATGCATTCATAAACCAAAGGACCCTTATTTTCATTTCTCTGATGAAATTCAGGGGAATCTAATCGCACGTTTACTGACTGCTTTTTTAGAGGTGTGTTATGCAAGCCAGAAACTCTTGAATGTCCTGCAGAACTTTTCAATGTAAAAGCTCCCAATAAACTCAACATGAAGCATTGCTGCAAAAAACGTTCTCACGCTTTTATTTAGTAGGCACAATCGGTTAAGAGGAAGTGATTATGTGAGTAGCTGTTTTGACTGAGATCTGTTTCAACACCAGCAGCTATAAATTTATTTATCTTTAATAAATCTGTCCGCATTGCTGGCGGACCGGTTCTGGCCCTCGGGCCGCCTATTTTTCAACCACTGCCCTAGACCCAACCGGAAGTCAGCAATTTTGAATTGAATTAGTAACTATCAACCACAAATAATTTCCACACTTCACCTGTGTAATATGTATCGTGTTAACTTCAGAGCCGTGTCAGCAGCCCTGCTGTGTAGAGACCCCAGCTGTCGATCCACCTGAGGTGCGCAAGGGGCGAGGGCCCGTTCAACGTTGCTTGCAGCTTTAATTATACATTGTCATTGTAGGTGAAGTGTGTAACACACTGAAAATTTCATGTCGCTTGAATTTTTTGTTACACAGAGGTTACTTCCTGTTGCCAGTAGGTGGGGCTTTGACTATACCTAAATATTTGCATGTAGATGTGTTCAGGCCGAGACCATTTTCAAGTGTAACGTTTGTTACAGATTTGATCATGTACAGTGAATTTACAACAGTTTCCTGTTTCATGCCGAAGCATGGAGCTTCGCCGCCACGCCATGGACATGCCGTGAAACAAAACTCTGATCCGAAATCTGATTTTCGACGCCATGCCAGACACGCCCTTCGACAGATGCTCACAGTTTGTACAACTTATGAAGTCGAGCTAATTACTCTGGGAGGAGTTTGTTAAAGTAACCTGTATATCGCCAAAAATTATCATTAAATCCAAAATGGCTGACTTCCTGGTGGGTTTAGCACATCGCTCCAAGAGGTCTGGACATGATACATGTGCCGCAAACATTTCGTACATTTCGGTGCGGTACCATTTTGCCACGCTTATGTGCAAGACCCATAAAATATGTAATTTTTCGCCCCGCCTGACATATGAAAAAAGTTTTGTGCGTTTTTGTTTTATTCTCGGGCCCTAAACATATAACAGTAACAGAGGATTAAAACAAGAAATTAAACATGTAACAGGAGATACAGGAGTAGTAAAAATGAATGACCGTTAAAGGTGGGGTAAGCGATTGTGGAGAAATCCTATGCCATGACAAATACCATGATATACAGCGAACAACGACACAGGAATGTAACTGTTAGTTAAGTTGTGGGTTAGCAAACTGTGGCTGCAGCTGCTGCAGCAAAGCTAACATGCAGACAGGATGAGACCGTTCCAGAGCCAGCAGCAGCTCCAGACTACTATAGTTAACATCACAACAACAGCATGTTTTGGTGAAGTAGAGAGTATGCTGAATGTATGTGAACAAGTCTTTTAACGTTACCTGACACACACATTAAGGCTGGAAAAGCTTAAATAGTGTTGTGTGGCAGGTAGTGGGCCACTTTGTTTGTTTTCCATTTACAGAGCTAAGGCTTATAAACCCCAGATCTTTTTGGAGCGCACACAGAATGGACAGAGATATATGCCAAGGCTCTACGCTAACCTTTTGCCCAAGGAGCATGTTGCTCCTAAATGAAGAAATTTAGGAGCAAAAATTTTCAAGTAACAGAGTTTAACAAACTATTTATTATACATATTTATGCTATGGGTGTGCGCCATATGCGAGCAAAATGGTCGCCCTGTAGAGCCCTATATGCTGAATTTGACCGAAAGATATATATTGCTTATATTAATCTCCATGCTTACGAACGTCATGATGTATTCATTAAGTCTGTTTCCATTGCTCTTTGTCAAATTTTGCTTTCATTAATAGATCAACCTTCTCACCATAGAAAAGGGGTTTTGTGTTTAAAAACGTTTTTGAAAAATTTAAATAAACATGAATGGAAACTAACCCATTGACATGTCTTGGTGGTGATATTTAATGCCAGTTATAAATAATGATATATTGATTTATTAGTAATGGTCAAAATGTTGTGTTGTGTTTCCGATGCAGCACCTGGTGACTGTTGGCCGGGATTTTGCCTGCAGTGTATGGAGTGGCAACCACTTGGCTATGGGTCTTAAATGGCTTGAAACCATGCCTCAGATAGCTGAGAAGACTTATCGATATATGGCTTGCAGGTAAAAAAAACCCCAATAAGTTTGTTCTTATGTGAAAGAGCATCGTAGCTTTTCACTTTGTTCACCTCACCATAACTATGGAGGTAAATCCATTACCATTGTAAACTATGCTAACTACTAGCAAACTATGAAAAGGATATAATTGTTCAGGGGTGGCTGTGGCTCAGGAGATAGAGCGGGTTGGCCGTTAATCGGAAGGTCGGCGGTTCAATCCCTGGCTCCCCCTGGTTGCGTGTA